ATCAACAGCCCACAAGAAAGTCACAGCGGATATAACAGCATTATCAACAAAATACCCAATAAACAGCGAAGAGGCCATTCTTCAAGGGTGTGTGTCATCCTGCTTTACCCCCCACACTCTAAATGTCAAGTTTAATCTCAGACGCAGACTCTCTGTGGAACATGGATCATTTAACTTTTAAAATGAAGGCTCGCTGTGTGTTTGTGTCAGCGGACATTCTGCCACAAATCACATGAAAACACATGTTTCTGCACGAGAAAATAAGAAGAGCTTTGTGTCTGTGGAAGAGATGTTATTATAGTTTCATAACAGAGTGCATATTGCTTTCTTCCCTGATATCCCCTGACAGTGTGTCGGTCATTATTTCAGGCCGAGCGGCTCCACTTCCTAACAAGATGGCTGTGATACAGACGCCGGCGCTGGTAGCATTTCCCCAGTGAGCCGGCTCCGATGGGTTGCCGTGGACACCTCTACCACTTATTGTGCTGGCTTTCGATTTCCCCGTATTTACACATTATTTTAATCTTTATATAATTGCATGCTACTGTGTTCACTGAGCATAGGACATTTTTAGTTGTACTATACACTATGTAAGGACTAAAGTGTTTTGATTGTTCAATTAAATTATATTCAAAGTATTTTCAATTGAATATTTGTTATTTGGAATACTTCACCTTACAGTTTGTGTCCATGCTCTGCGTATATGCTCATTCTCTCGCACACGACTCTCTTAATCTAAATACGAATAGTCTTTTTAATAAGAAATAAAAAAGAATATGATTTTTATCAAAATCAATCTATAACCGTTTTTTTTTAACTTATTGATTTATATGTATCTATATATATTTTAGCAGTGTATTTATTGAATTTGTCTACAGGAGCAAAATGCTGACTTGAAATAACAGACTTTTAAAAAGATAAAATAAATAAAGTTAAAATCCCACAAGACCAGTCTCTTCAAGCCATACTGTAGTCAACAGAAATATAAAGCAATGGTCATTGACTTAAAATCAATCAATTGTTTCATGAAATGTCAGAACAGTGAAGTTGCCCATCAGAACTTCACATGGGCCTAAGTAATGGCTAAACTAGCAATTCATTTTCAGTTGACTTTGATTGTTCAAATGAAACGATAATGTTTTGACTTTATTTTGACAATTCTGTACGTAAGTCATTTGTTTAAAACTTGCTGTTGCATTTAACGCCCTTACTTATACATATCTGTAAATAGGTCAACACTATTTATTTTACACTTATACTGTCACTTTCTTTGACATATTTTATGTTTAATTCTTACATTTCTTTGTCTCACTTGTTTTTATTATCCTTGTGTGAAGTCACATCAGTCCTATCTTGTGTTTCACCCTTGTTCCCGTTGCTGCTATCACACCTGCATTTCTCTACAGGGATCAATACAAGGTTCATCTTATCTTAAGTGCTGATTATTTGTATTTACAGCAGTCAGTTTGACCGATTCGTCAGGCCACGACTGCTGCTGGAGTCAACCAATAGGAGGATGCTGCAATGAGGCTCCTTTGAAGCTGCTCATCCCAAGATAGAAACACCAGAAACGTTGAGTAAACAGAGAAGAAGAAAGAACTCGTGCAGAATGTATTCACTGTGAGGAGGACAGTGAGATATTAGTGAGGGGAAACGGTGACAATCTTCATGTAGGGCAGCCTCCAAGGGCACCTTTAAGCCGAGGGTAAACTATAATGTGGAGCAACACACAAACACACACTGTATACGGAGAGGGGTGTGAAAAGTATGGTTGCCATGGTGATAATGCCCTCTAAGCATTGATGAAGGGCTGGTGCGTGCCGCTGACTGCACGCTGTGCACACTGTGAGAGAGCACAATCATTCATATTTTATCTACTATTGGCACGACACACTCTACAGAACGGTGTCATTCACACAATTCCACACGCACTAACACATGCAAGAGGCACATGGCCTGGTTAATATTGAAATACTCGTGCAAAGTCCTCCATTCAAAAAAGATGATGTTGAGAAGGAAGAGCAAGAAGAAGAAACTCAAACAGATGAGAAAATGAATGATGTTTAGGGGATTTAAGGTGAAAAAAGAGTGGGAAAAAATTCAATAAAACCAAAACAGTCAAAGAAATCGGGTTAGCAGAATCCCCTGAGTTTGAGAGGAAACCAACAGACAGAGGAAAACGAGCAACAGAGGAGGAGATTTATTCCTGACTGCAGCTCAGAGCCCCTCTATGAGCCCAACGACAAAACAAGACGCTTTGATGTCTCTGGTGCTGCGTTCTCTCAGAGTTACACAACACCCACCGCTGCTGAAACAACGACTGCGGAAAACAAACAGGGACATGGAGGAAAAACAGGGACTGCAATAAGATGATGGAAAGGAGCAGGACGTGTGGGAATTGTCAATTTCACATCCCTCCCATCACCTCTATTTAAAATGGGCTTAGAAACTGGGTCACAATAATCAATTTACTTCCCCAGATTAAAAAAGGGATGGTCGTTAAAGCATTTGTTCAGAAAAGAATAAAAATCAAGAGCAGGAGCCAATTGGATCTTTACAGTAATTGCATGTGGCATCTCACACCTGACCAACAATCCCCCTTCCACCATGACTGACTTACAAACAAAGGGAACAAATACATATTTTATATTACAGACACTAGTAATACTAGTAACAACAATAGTATAACTAAAATGTAATAGAGGCTTGTACAAACACATTTATTGACTTCTAATTATTGTGAACAAAATCTAAAAAAGATCAAAAATGATTAAGCACTAAGAGAAATAGTCAGTAAGCCTATTTATGTTGTCACTATGCCACCTAGTGTACAATCACCAAACATCTACAAAAATATCTCTTTGTTTTTATTCTTGTTTGTTCTTCTTCTCCCTCTATGTTTTGTTGATATTCAATACTAATCAGATTTAAGAAGCTATCTGGTTTTGGGCACATAAGCGTCAGCACATCTTATTATTCGCACAGCATTAGTGCCAAGGTGGATCACAATATGAGGCAAGCAACAACTAACGCCACAAGGTGGCACTGTTTAATAACCACATGGTGAGATATTTACAGACGACACACAACAGAACCAAAGTAGCACCAGAAAAGAGAGAGATGGATATACTGAGCAGCTGGATGTTAACTCAGGCATTAAACAGAATGGAAGAGAAAGGTATAGACAGTTTTAAAAAGATAAATGAAATGGTAAGGAGATGATTTCTGACTCCATCCACAACATACATTATGAAATGTTGAAACACACAGGAACTACGTGTAGTTTGTTTTTAATAATCCGACCACGAGCAGACAGATTAAAGCGTTTTCAATCTGGATCTCTGCAGAGCCCTACCTTTGGTCTCTACCATTACATTACATTACATGTCACTTGTTAGACGCTTTTATCCAAAGCGACCTACATACTCAATACTGTGGACAGTCCCCACAGGAGTAATTTGGGGTGAAGTGTCTTGCCCAGGGACACAACGACATGCTGACTGCAGTGGGGTTTGAACCTGTGACCCCCTGATCCCATCACCAACGCTCTATCCACTGCGCCACACGCCTCCCTATTATTGGGAAAACACTATGTAATATTTAGTGTAAAGTGTTTAAAGTCCTCTTTTGTCTGGAGGACCCCGATCACTCGTGGAGCTGCAGAGCAAGTTTACGTTTGAAGCTCGGAAGCAAGGGAAATACATGAAAGGTGACAGTCAGCGTGACATTCAATTAAACTTGAAAATATACTAACATTATTTCACTACTTTTATAAGGACATACAAATCAAGATATACGTCTTATAACTATCAAAAACTAGTTATTGTATGTTGTTTTAACACACAACAACACACCACACAACACACAACCACAAACACACACACACACACACACCACACACACACAGAGCGCGCCGCGCGCCGCGGCGCACCCGCCGCAACAACACCACACACACACCACACCAGCACCACACAGGCCACACCACACACCACCACACCACCACCACACACACAACAACACACAACACAGCGCACCACAACACACACAACCGCGCACCACTACGAGCTTCCTCGGCCTGGGTTCCCGGCCAGCGTGGCCAATGCTCTGTGCAACAACTGATCCTCGCTCATCGATATTTCTGTCTCCCGGTCAGATTTCCGTCCGAAACACACGCTCATCTGTCCTTTTGGGTATCCACCTCAAGAATCATAGTGAATTAATTACAATAGTGCTGAACCATTATTGATATATGGTCAAACAGAAATTGAACCTCAATAGTTCATTTTTCCAACCACAGTAATTTTAAAGGAAAACATAAATAAGCTTTGGTTCAGCTTTCTTGGATTAAGAATGAGCTGCTTTATCATGTAGTAATTAGATCTTTGGGTTTAAGACTATTTGTTGGCTCAAAACAAGACATTTAAA